AATCTAAAAAAATATGCGGGCTTCCATCACCCCTTCCGCAGCTCTCTATGAAGTTGTCATTGCTGCTATAAATTGAAGTTATTATTTCAACTTCTATAGTTTGTGAATTTTTGCACAGAATTGAGACTCTCCATAAAACATCCACAACCATTTTTCTTTTGCCTAAATAATATCAAAATTTTTCTTTGAACACCTTCCAAAAGCTCGATTACTTCTGCCCGAAGTCCAACAAACATAGCAGCTAAAATGTTTTCTCAGACTAAACCCCTCTAAATAGGGAACCAAAATGAATTCTGCAAGGCTTTCGAATTGATATCTATGAAATTCGAGACAAGATAATCAATAAAAGAAGAATGAGCAAAGTGGGGGAGAAGAGGTCACGAAAAAGTTGTGCTGGAATCTGGGAAACTGTGAAAGAAATGGGGGAGTGGGGAAGAAGAAGGAGGGGGGCGCGGAGGGGGGATGGACTATGGAGGGGAACCTGGAAAAATAAAAAATGGAATTAAAGCTTTCTTTTAATTTATTCCTTTTAATTAAAAGCTTAAAAATTTTGTTTTATTTAGTAAGTATTTATAAAATCATAACCCATTACATACACGCGCTTTTTGACGGTGATGGGCACGCACTTTTGCCATGTCAGTTATACCACTGCCACATAAATTTGGTCAATGGTGTTTATTAATACTCGTTTTATCAAGTTGAGGTGTTAAAATGAGACTTTCTTAAGTTTATTTACCAGGATAAAAAATCGGTGCAAGTTCAAGTGGCTACGAGGCCTTTTTGCCTAATAAATATAATAGAAACTAAAAAAAAAGTTAACTAGATATACCAATATAGTACTGTTAAATTCAGTGACGGACCAAAAATTTAAGATCATAGGTGCTCTACCACTTTAAATGTAGAATTATTACTAAAAACGGATTATAAGTGTGAAATCAGTTGAAAACTAAACAAAAAAGCAATAATGACATGTTTTAGCTTTTTATTCTCCTTTTGCAATATAAGCCGATCATACTCTTTCCATACTAACTTAAATAGTTAGTATTCGATCCTTTTAAACGATGAAGAAAAACTAATGATTTGTTTGAAAGTCGAACCAATAATGAGCGAAAATTCACCAATCATCACTATTGACTTTAATGCGGCTAACTTACATTCACCTTGAGAATGAGTTAACTCCTTTCAGTGATATATGAATTTCAGATCTTCAAGACGCATGAATTATGAAAAATAAAATTCAGTTATTCTATACCTAATTAAAAGTTAGAGTAAATAATTATTTGGGGTGGACTTGTCAAATCCAGAAGTCGCAAAAGCATAAGTTGCACATGATACTAGAAATAAATTTTAAAATAGCAGAGACTGCACCTCAAAAAGTTAATACCAGATCCTGCAATAAGCCAAAAATAGCCGGAATTACAAAAAATATACCTTTAAATATGATTCCATATTAAATCCTCTTTTTTGCAATTTTCATTAAAATAATAATTATAATTTGTTAAATACTAGCGAAAACCAAAAGCACTCACTTTTAACACCCTTATGGGATCAAACCGCTATGGAGTATATTTAAGGGTCCATTTTGAACTTACCCTCAAATATAAGGATCATTTTGTCTTTTTTTCTCATGTTTCGGATAAGTTTTTTATAAATACCTTTCAAAGTTATTTTTGTGATAAGTGAAGCATTATAAAATATTTTTTATGTAACAGAAGAAAGAATAGTGATTTTTGGGTAATGAGCACAAAACTAGATGACCACCCATGAAATTTACTCGTATTATTGACATCTCAACAAGAAGAAAAATAGATTGAAACACCATCAGGAGGTATTTTGATAAGGCAGACATGTCGAAAAGAACAAAAACTATGTTTCTATTGCTTTTGACTTACAACGCATCATTGTTTGGGCTCACTCTATCGTTACTGATCTAGGATGCATGGACACTTTAAACAGGGACATATGTGTTAGACGCCGATAAACTACTTGAGATTTTTTTATATTTACAACATAACTCATATGTTCCTCGTTCTTCTTTTACTCAGAAATAAAAAAGTAAACTTGATAGGCTATTTCATGGATTCTTGTTGAGTCCTTGTAAAGGTGTGCCTAGAATTCTCACATCCCTTTCAGACATTAGTTGTTATTCATTTTGTGAGAAGAAAAAAGGTGTACGCTTCTAAGATGAAAAAGAAATTCAAACTACAGAATAGCCTCATTGTTTAAAGTAGATCATAGAATGTTGTTAAAACCTGGCCGCAACATCCAATCTACTAGCTAAAACACGAATGCTTGATTGATACAAAAAATTAATGGAAGTCAAACGAAGAGAAGAAGAAGAGAACTGGCTGTGATTTGATTTGCTTTGAACGCATAGAAAAGTCAAAAGGCATTTAAGTATTCTTGAACTCAGAGAGCTTACTGGTCATGATAATTTATGTTACACAATTTCATATTCCAGAGATTACTCCCAGCATACTATTGACCTACTATTCTATAAAATGTGTATTTTTGAATTTACCTCCTTTTGCATCAACTAAAATTATTGATCAAAGATCTTCATTTGATTATATTCTTGTCTTTACATACAGGGTTGTAGTTGCAAGACTTAGATAATGAATATTTATTCAATAAACGAGCATAGGATGAATCATATTCTCCTTCCTCGACCTTACCATAAGTGTAAAACCACCTCTCTAATTCTTTAAACTAGTATACAATATGCCAATGTTTAACAGATTCATACAGAGACCTCCAATATCAAGAACCTTTCTGTATACATTTGATGATTCAAATGTGCACATTTTGCTTAAAAATTAACTGGACACCAAGAGCTAACGTGACTAACCAAAATGAAAAGAGAAAGCTTGCATTTCTCTGTTTTGTTTCATGTATCTTTATTAGGATTACAGTTAACAGGAATTTCCTGGAAACGTCGATCAAATGAAATGGAGATATCTTGTATATTTCAAGCTTCAACTCAAGATGTTGATCCAATATTAATGACTATTTGTTATTGAACAAATATGTATGTAGAACATAGGCAATTTGTTGATTCAATACTCATATTTTTATTTCTCACAGGTTTGTGAGGCGTGGCTTTTCCGAATGTTCCATCGATCATATACCAGAGCAAAGAAGGAGAAAGATCAATCTCGCCCGTAGATCAAAGTATTACATGAAGAAGCTGTTACCTGATAAGAGTGGTATACGTATTGATTGCACTTTTGCATAGGAATTGAAGTTTTTTCTTCTGTCTGTGTACTAGCTCTACAAAAAAGCTCATATATAGTGAAGTGGGACAATCCTTACGTCCAATACAGACTAGTAGTATTACAGGAGTCTCTCACATGGAAGGAGTGGGTTCATTTCTCACCGTCCTCTTTCCCCTCCCACTTCTTTGATCCCCAACGAATTTTGATCTAGATGTATGGTAGTTATCTAAGTTAATTTATCTCAATTTACAGACAGATCCCAAGTAGAGGACGCTTAACGCGTCGAGTCTGATTGTGCTTCGAATCTCAACTAAAGCTCTAAATTTTGGTTCTCCTTCGATTCTGAGAGATAATTAACAAGCGTGAGAGCTTTTGTTCAATACATGCTGCTTTCGCTCAAACTTGCTCTTTCTACTGGGTTTTTTCACAAGATCTTCCGCTTCAATGCTTCGATAATATACAAGATTAGATCGCATAACTAGATATCCAGAGACTACAACAACAAACTTAGTTTGATCTTCACAGGTGGGGTCTGCGCCGAATAGTATGTACGCAGACTTTACCCTCATCTTGTAAAGATAGAGAAGTTGTTTCCAGTAGACCCCAAATATCTAGAGACTAAGGAACATAAACGTTATGTCAATAAAATCTACTATATGACACTTAGACCTCGCTTCTTGAGCGTGATCACTGGTAGACCAAAAACGCGTGGTCTGCTCGTACTAGGGGAAGGGCCCCTCGACTGGCTTTCTCACTGAAATGGAACCTCCTCCTCCGGTCTCACATAGTTTGGAATATGAGATTTTGCTTCTTGATGGTATTTTGCACGCAAAACTTTACTCCACCCGACTACGCTAACGAGTACATAAAGTAATCTTCAATCTATTTGAATAATTAACTCTTCGTCTTGCCGTTATTTAATCACGCTACGATAGACTTTAACGCCCAATACTGTTTAAAGGAAAAAAAAAACACCCTGTACTGCTTTGGAAAATGCGTCAACCATTGTGCATGTATGGAATGGAGACGGAAGGGAAAAAGAAAAAATAGAGGCCAGACATCAATTGTTCCTTTCGACTTGGGGAACATCCAAACTTCTATTCTTATCAGGTCGAGGAGAAAACATATTTAAAGTAAAATAGGAACACGAGCTGTGATTTTCGAACTTAGTCAGAGTTTATGATTTGGCAACTATAATTATACGAACTCAATCACAGTAAGCCTTCAATTTCCATTTGAGAAATCTACAAAGTCAACTCTAATTACTATGCCTTCACATGTTCGGACACAAGTAACAGAATAGCGCAAAATCCATCTGCCTTATAACTGATAAAGTTCTATAAGTTTAACTGAGCCAGACCAACAACTTTCAAATTTGTTAAACTTGAACAAGCTTTAAACAAACTCAACCCGACCTACTATTTCATGCTTAGTAAAGAGAAAAAATCTCCTATTGCCACATTCAGTAATCTTCCCCTATTCCTCAGGGGAAGTTATTTTTCTTGACTGCATCATACACTTGGTAAGAAATTTGTCTTGGACAGTCCACTGCACACACTAAATTCTTTTTAGTAAAAAAAGAATAACAAGGCATAAGTTTTCTAACGCACCAAAATCCTAATACTAACCTCCAATAACCACTACAAGGTAGGATCGGGTGTAGCACCCGGAAATTGCTTCACAAAGGTCTTAAGACATTCCATGTACTTGTGGATTTTTCATATGTTTGATTTATTATTGAAAGAAGCTTAAGAAATCCTTCAAGGAGGAAACCAACTGATCTTTATAAAAGGTAAGGTAAAAAAAGGAATGCAACGCACTGTGACAGTACATCCATAAGCCTCTCAAGCACTTTGAATGCAGTAGAAAATAGATTATTCTTCTGTCTTGGGAGGCCCCTTCCACTTGAAGTTTTCCGCATACGACTTGATCTGCAAAATACGACAAATTATTCTGCAAGAGAAACACGCAACAATGAAATTGGAAGAGATAACAACTTAACTAAGGTCCATGTGATAAGGTTCTTGTTAAGGTGCATGTGCTTTAATTGAATAGTTATGCTATGTTTTTCCAAGTCCTTTGCGGCAATCAATCATATAAAACATACAAGATTTTAAAGTGCTTGTGCTTTAAGACAAATTGCCCTCTTATTCAAGTCCTTTGAGACAATCATTACTGGAAGTTCGTTGCCTTTGTAAATGAGAGACTTGAGAATGGTAAGGTCCCTTTCAGAAAATCGGGAATAAAATTTAAACTTCTAAACTAGTTAAAGGTACCCCCCAAAATATCAAAGGCGATTGTAATCCCTCATAGGGAAGTGTTTCTCTATGCACGTGTCTCCAGAAAACCTACTTAAATTTCTTAAGCAAACCGTGGATCATGAGTTTTCACAATCCCAAGAGGAAACGAACCAGTATAAATGTCTACACCAGAGCTGCTGGATTGGGCAAATCACAAATTCAGTTTTTTTTTGAAGAGATTTCAAACCTTTAACAATGGTGTGTGGCGCTTCTTAACCTGCACATAAAAATAAAAAGAACGTGGCATAAGCATCACGTTGAGAACCAAACACAAAGGTTATTCTGTTCATTTCTCAAGATAAACCAAAACATTTCCAGAGCAGCAGAAAGAGGGGGAGTGTGCACAGAAGAGGGACCCAATGAAAGACCACAATGTTCAATAATTCAACAACCTCCTCTAAAAGCTCTTCCAATATCAATTTTTGATGTTGAGGCTCAAAGGCTATGTGATTTCGTTAGTGATATTGGAGTTCCTTTTGTTTCTACTTTCAAGCAAATTGGACAACATTTTACTTGTCATTCTTTGGTCCACATATATATGATCAAGCCTGCTGCAACGAGAAACTATCCTATGCTGGTCAATTGATTAGTTCTACTTCTATCATATTCAACACCAACTTCCTTGTTGAAACTGGTCTTTGTTTGTCTATCAGTTAGTAATATAAAGATTTTTTCCAACTTGTCAATACTCTAATACAATATTCAAGTCAAAGCCTTCTTTAATGGACGCATTAGAATGATTATTTCAAGGGCAAAGGTCCAAATATACCCTTATACTATACGAAATTGAGCACATTTGCCCTTCGTTAATATTTTAGCTCAAATATGCCCTTACCGTCACATAGTTGGTCCATATATGCCCTTAGAGTTACACAGTTGGCCCATATATGCCCTTTTCGAAACGGAATTCACCCAAACTAATTAGCTCTTTGTTTAGTGTATTACAAACACTATTTCCTTTTTATTAGTACTTTTTTTTCTTTACCTTTCTCTTTTCTTTCTTCTTTTTTCCTTTTTCTTTCTCCCTTATCCGATTTCCTCCATTAATGATGTCTTCTCCATTTTCATCACCAATTTCACTTGACAAAACCCATGAATTCCAATTACTAAGAAAATTCTGCCATAAGGTAATAAAGTTTCAATTTCATTGGCCCTCTAAATAAACGAAATTAAATTGTTCCAAAAATTATGGTTTAAACTTTAAAATAATAAAAACATCTCAACCTTTAACAATACTCAAAAGACCAAAATATTTAAATTGTTTCCAGAAAGATAATTTAATGATTAAAAGCCTAGAGTTCAAGTTGTAGTGTTATAAATTTGAGTTGTTAGTCTTTTTTCAGCTGGACATTTTCTATTTTTTTTTATTAACTATGTAGATTAGGGGTGTAAATGGAACGGGTTGGTTCGATTTTTATCAAAATCAAACCAAACCAATTATATCAGTTTGGATTGTTCGGTTTTGTTAGATTTTCGGATTTTTTATTACATAAATATTATTCCAATCTTACTTTGTTAAATTTTTTAAAAAATTGACAAACATATGATCTATAAAAATATTCTTATGGGAGAATTTTCTTAGTAATTGGAATTCATGAGTTTTGTCAAGTGAAATTGGTGATGAAATTAATGGAGAAAATCGGATAAGGGGGAAAGAAAAAGGGGGGGAAAAAGAGAAGAAAGACAAAAGAAAAAAGAAAAGAGAGAGGTAAAGAAAAAAAAAGTACTAATAAAAAAGAAATAATGTTTGTAATACACATTAATACAATTAAACAAAGAGCTAATTAGTTTGGGTGAATTCTATTTCGAAAAGGGCATATATGGGCCAACTGTGTAACTCTAAGGGCATATATGGACCAACTATGTGACGGTAACGGCATATTTGAGCTAAAGTATTAACGAATGGCAAATGTGCTCAATTTCGTATAGTATAAGGGCATATTTGGACCTTTTCCGTTATTTCAATGGCGCATATTCTCCATATTGCAAGACATGGCTCGCATAGGGGATTAAAAGGCTTGAACAGTCAAAGTGCTTTTTAAACACCTTACTTCATCAACAAAAATACCGGTCAAAGAACTTTTTGGAGGTACCAAAACCTAAAATTTCATACAAATCACGCTTTTCCTAACATGGAGCATTTGAAAACTAGCTCATAATTGGACAGAGAAGGCTTCCCTTTTTCATGAATGGTCCAAGGGGAAAAGGTGAAATGAGCCCAACTCAGCCACCGCCCTTGGGCCTTGGCCAATGCTTCAAGAAGATGTTTTATGTATACTTGTGAATGAATGGAAAACCAAAAGGTCATTAAGCTAACAAAAAACACAATAGAAATGTTAAGAAACTCTAAGTTGTACCGTGTATTCCCAGCCATGCTTTTCAGCAAATGCTTTTGCAGCTTCTTCACTCTCAAAACTAAGCGCGGATTCACCAACATTGGCATATGGATCCCCTGTGGATGTCCAACCCATCAATGGATTCTCCCATCTACATATATAGAAGAAAGAAATATGCTTATCACCCTCTAACATAAAACTTCGGCATAAAAGAGAGGCAGAAGAGCAGAAACTTGATGTTAAACTCAAAGTATGACAAAACAACATTTACGTACTTCAATTGAGGGAAGAGCACGAAAGAGTTAGCCTTCAGAGTATATTATTTTATTTCAAAATAGTATGAGATGATTCCACTAGCATCCTCTAGTGCAATTCCCATGAAATAAGCGTTCTTCATCTTAATTATTATACTTATATAAAAGGGACAAGGGAAACGACCTTAAAGATAAATTAACAATTCAGCAGTACTTGCACAAGAAATTTATCCCACTAGCCATTTCCGTCGGAGGTAATGAGACATTTCAACAAATTCAATTGAAAACAACATTAAGACCTCAGATTTAAAAGATCGAAAAGAAGCGGAGCAAATCAAGACAGCGTATGCAAGTGATTTCTAAAGAAACAGCAATCTGATTGAATCCTAAAGTTTTAACCCGGTAAAAGACTTTACTTGATCAAGAAAAAAAATTAAACAGGTAAAAGGAAATGGATCTTCGAACTTAACATAAAGAAAGACTAAGGGGTCATTTGGTTCATGGGATAAGGTGGGATAAGGTGGTTTAGAATTTGAGATTAAATTTACCCCATGTTTGGTTTGGGTTAGTTTGGGGTATTAATTAAACCCAAGATAAAATTATACCACAAACTAGGATTAAATTATCCCATCACCTAGGTGGGATAACTAATACCGGGATTAGTTATCCTGGGAAAATATTTCAAAATGACCATCTTACCCATAAATTTTAGAAGGAATTTCAATGAGAAGTGACTAGCACAGGCCTAACAAATTATGTTTCGTCCTAGTTCGTTTGTCTCTCCCATTTCCATACGTGGTAGGGTGTCTTTAGAATGGCATGAGGATCAGTTATTATAAGGGAAAAAAACTGTTCTCTTATTTGGAAAGTTAACCTTCTTTGAGATTCCTGCAAAGAATTACAAATAAGCAACAAACCAACGAAAAATGATAAAGAATATGACAAAAAGGAAGAAAAAGGAAAAGAAATGAAAAAATAGGAAAGATTATGAAATGCAAATTTAATATGCAAACTTGATTCTTCTCCCGATCATATGACCAAGAACTGGTGGCTTTCTATTTTAATTATTTATTTTGTTTAGAATTCTATATAATAAAAAGTAAACATTAATAAACTATGATACGGTGAAGAGAACTTTCACAATATAAATGTTTAAACTAATTTTGTATTTTTCATTTTAGACCGCGTGAAGCCTGGACAAATTCTCTAGTATGGTTGTGTAAATCCAATGGAAACCCAATCAAGTAGCTGAAATGTCTCCTTGATTATGCCACTGTTTCATATTTAATGGCACTCAACAAACTAAATGGCTAAGGGATAGAATAACAACACTCCACCAACTTGTTTCTCTATTTGAAATAAAGGTCAAAATTGGGAACAAGAAATTTACCCGGCTTTATCCAGCTTCAAACCAAGCACAAGTTTTGGGTTATACATAGTATATCCCATTTTTAATCCATTGAGCCAAACAAAGCAATAGCACTAAATAATCCAGGGATTGTTAATCCCATGATTATAATCCAAGGATAACTTTGTCCGCGAACCAAACGACCCCTAAAGCTCTAGTGATGCTATGTTGCCAAACTATCCACCATTTAGAAACAAAAGTTGATCTCTCAACTCCAAAAGATACAAGCAGTTGCAATCAGAAACTCGAAAAATAAAATAGCTTGATCTGCATAGAGGAGAGTATGCAGCCATTATCCTGGACCCAGATTATATGCGCTTCTCTCTCAGCAATCTCACTCATGACTTAGTGTGCAAGACCGGCTCTGAAGAGAAAGGACTTTCTCTATATCTATATCTATGCAACTAGTTCTTTCACTTGCTTCCAAATCCATCCATCTTACTTACTCAAAAGCTTTGAATAATATTATACACTTGTTTCATCAAAAAGCACAATTTTTTTCTCGACTTCAAAAAATTTCAAAGAATGTAGGTCTGGTAAAACTGAAATTAATGGATGGGGTTTTTCTCTATTGAAGTTTAAATAGGTTAATCAGGGGAATGATCTTTACAGGAGAGCAGGAACTCCGGAATCCAATAACTGGGACTCCTATTGGTGATGCCTTTCTGAAAAGCCCAGCTGGTTAAAAGTTAAAATCAACCCGATCTCCTTATTATGTCCCTCCACAACCAAAAGCACAATTACCAGATATACAGAATTGTATTAAATGAAAAGTAAAATGGAAATCTGTATACATTCTCTGAACCACTGGAAGCAAAAAAATCAACAAATTTTTATTCTGAGCAAGCATACACTACAATCAATATTGAACTATCTGTTCTGGTCTAAACTTCATAGTTAATCTTTTATTTTGTGATTAGACACCCAGGCTCAATGAAACTTACACTCTTAATGGTGCCAATCAAAGCTTTTGTTCAGGTTTTCTCTCTGTTTCTTATTCTCGTTTTTACTTGGAACGTAGCTCAATTTCATGCTAGCTGAAAACAGATTGATATTGGCAAACCATATTAACTTCACAATACTGAAAAGAAAAAGGCGGATTAGAATCATACTTCTGGGTTGACAAGAAATTGATTTTCCATCTTCCAACTTTTCCAGACCCCTGTTGACTAGCAGTCCGAGCAGGTGAGAAAATCACAACCTGATAAGCAAACAAGATCAAGTAGCAAAAAGGATCAGGGCATAAGGATCTTTTTCTTTTTGATAGGTAGCAGTGCATAAAGATCTAAACCACCAGTATAACTGATAATGATTTTGCACTTAAAGAAGCAGAAAATATATGTATTAAAAGGCCGAATGGGATCGTTCAGCACCTTTAAAAACCAAAAGAAAATTTGGTATTTACTTAGGAGCTGATTTAATAGTGCAATCACTGCCATTGTGAGTTAGAAAAAAAAAAAGGAAAAGATAAACAACCAAATACATTTGTATAAATATAAATGAATCCATAATTTATCAAAACTGAATGAGAGGGCAAGGCATGCACATGAAAAGCAAAATACGGAATAGACCAAACTTGACGGGAAAACATAGAGGAAACAAAGCGTCTAATAATTGTCCAAAGGGAACCGACCCATGAATTGTACTACTGAAACCAACCCCAGAAGTTATATCTAAGCCTACAAATTTTCAGGAGCTCTCTGTTGGCCCTGACAACTGGAAATTTAATACTCCAACCATCTCATAATCAATATTTGATGCAAGCTGAAGATATATTCAGCTAAATTTGTACAGAAATGGATCAAAGAACTCTCTGGAGCTAAAGTTTCTATAAAGCCAAGCTAGAGACTGATCTTAAGGGTTAGACTTGCTAAGCCCGTTTGCTCCTAAACATGAAAAATTAGAACTTTTTACTTCTCTCGAGCATCTGAGAAGTTATACTCTCTTCTGCCTCATTGAATAGGCGTGAGAAGAAGAAACGAGTGGGAATAAAGAAACAGCTAAATATATTACTTTGGAATGGAGTCGAGATAAATTCTCAAAGATACAAGTGACAGCAATCAATCAACTACAACAATCCCAAATCAATTTGAATCCGGATATATGAATCCTCCATATCCATTCCGCAACCATCTGCTAACCCTAAATCTAAAATGGCGGAATCAATGGATCTGCTATAGAAGCCCTAAATTGGTTACGTAAAATGAAGTTTTTCTTGCGCCTAAATGACCTGAGAGAATAATAAATATTAGCCTAGGAGCATAAGGAGAAGAAGTAAAATACCCTTCGGCGAAGATGTTCATCAGGAATACCAGAGACCATACCGATCTCGCCGGCCTTGATTTCGACCAACGCTTCTGACGCAAATTGTCTCCATATCGGCGTGAGAGAAGATCGGTAGGCGGCAAGAGGGGAATGTCTCGCTATTCGCTGCAGAGAGCTTGCCATTTCTCTGAGATATCCGGCTGAAGTGATGATTGCCAGAAAGATGCTTGCTGTTTGTATATTTTTATTTTTGATGGTCAGGCCGTGTTTGGCTTGTGTAAATTCACGCTATTACTTTATAAAATAAAAACCGTAAAGTAAAGACAACTATAGAGAGAGAAATTGATCTATTATTCAAACTTAAAACTTATGTACATAATGAACTAAAAACTACTCTATTTATAGAAGAAAGAAAGCAGTTGTGAGGCTTTTCAGGAAGCAGCTGCAAGGCTTTTCTTTAGCTGTTTGTAAGTTGTCTACATGAGTTGCTTGCAACCTGCCTGTTTAATAAGAAGCTGCTGCAAATTATTTTATTGAGCTGCTTGTAACCTGCCTGCATCAGCTGCTTGTAGATAAATTTCAACAGAATACTAAATGGATAATCTTCTTCGGGAAGATTATCTATAGGGGAGTAATAAATGAACATCCACAATATAATTATTTTCATAACACTCCCCCTTGGATGTTCATTAAAAGGTATTGTGCCTCGTTAAAAATTTACTAGAAAAAACCCAGTGAAAAAAATCCTAGTGAAGGAAAAAGAGTACACATATTTAGTAATACACATTTCTAGCTGCCTCATTAAAAACCTTATAAGGAAAACCCTGTAGGAAAAAACCTTAGTAAGGAAAAAAGAGTACATCGCGTATTTTACTCCCCCTGATGAAAACCTTGTTTCAAATATTTGAGTCTCGGGGTCTTCTCAAAAGTTGAAGTTGGCAAAGATTTAGTGAATAAATCTGTCGGATTGTCACTTGAACGGATTTGTTGCACATCACTGTCACCATTTTTCTGAAGATCGTGTGTGTAGAATAATTTTGGTGAAATGTGCTTCGTTTTATCTCCTTTTATAAATCCTCCCTTCAATTGGGCTATGCATGCAGCATTGTCTTCTTATAAAATTGTGGTCTTTTCTCATATTCCAAACCACATTTTTCTCGAATAAAATGAATTATTGATCTCAACCATAGGCATGCCCTACTTGCTTCATGAATAGTTATTATTTCAGCATGATTTGAAGAAGTAGCAACAATAGATTGCTTTGTGGAGCGCCATGATATGATAGTACCTCCACATATAAACACGTACCCGGCTTGAGATCTAGCTTTATGGGGATCAGATAAATAACACGCATCTGCATAACCAACAAGATCTGCACTATCTTTGTTAGTATAAAACAAACTCATATCAAGAGTTCCCTTTAAATATCACAATATATGCTTAATCCCGTTCCAATGTCTCCGTGTATGAGAAGAACTATATCTTGCTAGTAAATTAACAGAAAATGTTATGCCAGGCCTTGTAGCATTAGCAAGATACATTAGTGCATCAATTGCACTGAGATAGGGTACTTCGGGACCAAGGAGTTCCTCATCCTCTTCTGGAGATCGGAA